GTTACCGGTTAACAAATAGTCGAACAGATTGCAAATGCCCACCAGATCGCTCATATGCACATCCGTCAAGCAATGCCGATAGTGGAATTTGCAAGTTTCGACACAGTGAGTTAGAGCACTTAAAAACCATCTTAAGATTTTTCTCACTTCCAAAATTTATTAACACGCCCCCTACTTCTCCTTTAATGGTTAGGTTATTATGATACCTATATACATATAGTTATCATTAGCTCTTTAGTTGACTTCGAGCTTCACAGAGGAGAGAAACATAGTCACAAAAAGTTTAGTGGTGGGGAACAGAAAAGTGATTAACAGATGCAAAAGAGACAGACACAAAGGTGGTGTAAAAGGTAATGTAAGATAGAGAGGAGGGGAAACATCAAAGTGACAAAAGACTAGAGGAGGACAGAATAATGATTCAAAGATTTAAAGGAGACAGACAGAGATACAAAGGCAGAGAATAGGTAAGGCGAGTACTGTGGAATGGGTTGAATATGACATACAGTGGGGTCATGATAAGTTGAGGTCAAGTGCCGGTTTATAGACTTTTTTGCCGTTATCTAGGGTGCACTACGTGGAGGTAAGTCTATCGCACACCCCATATACGCAATATACATGTAGGTATGAGGCTTTATTATGAATATTTTTGACTGCAATTTAGCTGCTATTGACTAGTCAATTTCTTACGAACCTTTTTGGTGAATATGCCTTCGCAAAACACTCCACTTAAAAAATTAAATTGATATTTCAATTTTCTGCCCAGATTTATGTAAATTAGATAACTTAAAATTTGATTCGCATCTTCTTAGCATTAGCAAATTTTATAATATTTTTCCGCTGATATTTGTATCAGAGTAGAGCAATTGTTTGTCTATTACAATAAATAATTCATTCCTTATGAATTTACTTTCTAAATTCGCCATCTAATTAGTAAAGTGGTGATGAAATCGTTTTCACTTTATCTCAACTTTGCAAAACTACTCAAATTAATAATTCAACTAACAAAAATATCGCTTTTTATGGAGATGACTGAAATAATTCCAAAACGTTAATGCTCTTTTATTGTCAACTAAAACAGATCTTGCTGATACAACTGTGAAATGCAATGATTAGAGTTGTATTTTAATTAGTTAAATTTTTCTCCGGAAATAAAATGTTATACATATCGGCGTGTTGAAAAAAAAGCTTACTATTTTAAAACATGGTATCACTTAAAAAAGACGAAATTCCGATTTATTTTATTCGGTAATGTTAATAGTTATTTAAAAATTATGTTGAAGTTAAATTACTTCTTTTTATTAATAAATGACTATACATGATTAAGTATTTTATTTGAAATAACTCTAATTTTAATGAAATTCAACCTTAAGAAATTATTATTACTAAGTGTAAACATGTTTGAAAACTACCTATCTGTATAAACTGCTGAAATATTAAGAGTTTTGTAAAAAAATTGTTACTTTTGGTAATCCTAGAAATTGATTTAGCCCTAAAGTGTGCAAAAACCGTTTGCAATGCATTATAAAGCTAAAGATTTAAAAGGAATCGAACTTTGGTACTAGGGAACACATTTTAGAAGAACAGCATTTAGAAATCACACACCCAAACATTCCTGGTCACATTAAATTACAAATGTCTCCTTCGAATCGATTCAGTTGGCAATGAAAATTGAAGGCGACTACAAAATGTAAAGTCTGCTTTATTTAGTACCAGTAGTAGTAATAACAGTTTTAGCATTTATAAGAACCTTTTCCGTTTTCAATATTTAAAAATAATTCAAAAGAGTCCAGCTTCTCTATGCCCTTTTAGAATATTTTAGTTAAATATCTCCACTTTGAAATTGATCGGTTTTTTTACTACGTTCCTAATTTTCAGTTTTTTGGCAAAATTGAGCAGAATATAGGCTTAAACCCAAAAAATAATTGTTTTTAAAAAATATATTATTCCCAATTATTTTGCAAAAATTAAAATCGGAAGCAAGCGATTCACATAATTGAAAAAGCCTCTTCATACGAAACGATTTTTTAAAACAATCGAACTTTGGTGTTTACGAAATAACTTTTTATCGCTCTTACCGTATTTCTACCACGAAGACCATAGAATTAAATTAACTAAATTAACAGAAAGCCTGAAAATTCAAGTTCCTTGCTTTGATTCTAAACATTGTTTCGACAGGACTAAAATTCGGTACATTTTCCTTTACCATAAGTTCGAATTCAATTCATTTAAAAATTATCAAAAAATACTGAGCATCGGCAAGTTCACCATTCACGGTAATTGACTGTTTAACAGTTGCATATGTATATTGAACTTCTCTATTATTTACTATTTAGTTCAAACTGTTTGTGAGAACGCTCTTCTCTTGATTTGCTACATTCCCCACTGGGATGCTCCCTACGAGGAACTAACTTCTCGAATGGATACGGGCGCAGCGCATGCCCGTCTAGAGTCAGCCAGCACCAGTGCTGGCACAGCTATCTATCTTAAAAAGGCCTCCCTATTTGATGAAAGCGGACGTGATTTTATCTCCACCTCGTCAAATACAGCTTCAGCTTCTGGAGCCGAACTCTGGCACGCGATGATGCTCAAGATCTCCTCGCACACACCAACTGCCAAAAATGCCACCTTCACTACACCCTACTGCACTCGAATTGATCTTATCATGGATCCGGCACCAGAATATGGAATCAGGCTGCATAACATCGGTGTAAGCTTTTCCATAACTCTAGACATCTAATTCATTCAGTTTAAAAGTTGAATGAAATACCACGATCGGGAGTTCCTGAATAAGTTAGATGTTCATTGAACACCGTGTGTTGTGGTGAAATATCTGCTCAAATCCTGTTGGTGAATTACGGACTTCAAATTTGAAACTTGAATTACCAAATATTGTTCTGCCCAAGAGCAAAATTTAAATGAAGTTTCCTTCACTCTTATCTGCCAATTGGTGTTAGTTTGATTCCCACGGCTGAAAATTGCAAATGTTTTTGCTTTGTAGTAATTTTGAAGGATCTAAAATTTCTTAAAGTTAGCGAAATACTTTTAAATGGTTTCTACACAATCCCCTTATCATAAGCAAAAATTGAGCCGAAGAAAGCGATTTACTTTCTCTAATGAATAATGCTATTTTTAGAACAAATCTGGGGCATATTTTTAATTTTCTTTTTCGGTAACTTTTGTTGTCTTAATTAGCTAACTTGTCTTCTGATTAAATTATTCAAAAAATTTAATGGAAAAATTTGTGATTTATCAAGAAAATAATTGGGTTAGCTCATGATTTTATTCCTATATCGTTAAGTACTTTAAAACAACTAAATTTCGGGGTTCATTTAAACTTGTGAATTTTGTACCATTTTTATCAATAAATTTGTTTCTTTCAACTTTGAACTAATATTATTATTATTATTACAAATGAAAGACTTTATGATATTTACCATTAGCCAAATTTGAACTAATATCGATTGAAGTTATTCAAAGTTGATTAATTTTTTGTTTCAGTTGCACTCTGGCTACATTGAAAGAAAAGTACTTGAATGCAAATATCTCTGAATGAATTTAAAATCACCTGCATTTTTTTCAAAATATTACCCTATCATTTATTTATTTATTTCAAATGGGAGGCGTTTTGATAGTTATCATTAGCCCTTTAGTTGACTTCGGACTTCACTGAGGGGAGGAACATCATAGAGGGAAAAATTCGAGTGAGGGGAAAGAAGAGTGATTCACAGATGTAAAGAGACAGCGCCGTTGAAGTGGTCGAATATAACATATTGTGGGGTCATGGTAGTTTGAATTCAGAAGTCAACTGCCGAATAAGAGACTTTTTGCCGTATGAGTATACGTTGCCCATAGTGCACCACGTGGAGGTAAGTCTATTGCGCTACCCGGACTTATTAATGTTAAATTGCTGTATCCTAATTTTCTATGATTCAGATCACACATGAATAGATATCGAATGCTCGCCTTCTCAGATTTCATTTAAATACCTGAGTTTCCACTCATTATTTTGGGGGTAAAGTCATCCAATTTGAGGGAAAAAATATTTTGATTTAAATTTTGGACAGAAAGTATAACCTTGAAAATTTTACTTTGTGTATAAGGTGTCAGATCTGATTTAGCATAATTACAACTCATATCGCAATTATAAATTTTGAGATCTAAACCGAAAAGTGTCATAAGCAATTGAATAATAGTATAACCGCTGCTAATTTTCGACTTAATAATGGTTACAAAATTTAAAATTCTATAATGAGGCGTTTTATCACGTTTACAATTTTTAACAGGAAAACAACTCTTTCAAATACTCTCTTAGTTTTACATTATTCTAACATCAGATTACTTAATGTAAATAGTCTTTTTTGCACTAATTACTTTAATACATTTCGCTAAAGTGCGAATTTAGTAGTACGAATCCAAATAATGTCGAAGTATGCAGAATCGAGAGCTTTCTAAAACACAAGCCAGGCGATTTAAAAGCCTCAGTAACCTAGTAATTTCTATGGATTAACTTTCGGTTTTATGGTCTATATTTCTTCATCAAGGAAACTTTGAATTTTGAATTTGGAAAATATCATTTTGGGAAAGAATGATTTCCCCATGGAATTTTTGTAAATGGAAATAAAAAGCTTATATGGTTTGAATAAAACAATACTTTGTACCTCAAGGTCTAAATATAGGGAGTGAAGTTTAGTAGACTTTGTCAATTAACAACGGAATGCCGACAATTGAGTTTGAAACTTAGGCAAAATTCAGTTACCCATGCAATATGTGCAGACAAAGTACTCGAATTCCGCTGAAATTTCAATAAAATTGACAGTTATTGAACTTTGCATAGATAATTGATACTTTGTAATCATTGGAGCATATTCATTTCAGAATATTCCTTCGATAAAATTTGAACATATTGGAAGTTTGAAATGCCTCCTCTCTGGGTACCTTCGACTAGCCAATTGAACGGTGTATTCTCAACCTAAAAACTTATAGTCAAAATAACTGGACAATAGTCCAATTCCCATTACACATTTTTATTTAATTTTAATCCTCTTATTATTCATCAGAAATACTTCAGTTCTCCGAAGCTTTAACATCACGCTCAAAGTGGATGAATACAGCCACATTCAGCCTGTTTTCAGTAATAGAATACCTTCATTTTAATTCTACCAAAGTATTTGGAATGAGATAAAATGATAATGATAAAATAATAATGATCAATTGTCCTATAACTAGGAGCGAAGTAGACTGAAATGTGTTCAAATGTGTATTATTTTTCTTCTTCTTCTATCATGTTTAGGGTGGTCGAACAGAGTACCAGGGCACCGTGGTGGTTGTAATGAAGGACTCTTTGCTCAAACCTACTAGTGATTTACGCCTGCCGTTCACATGCATTGATCAAAAAATCACCAGGGAACGACAAGAGGAGATTTTGTGAGTAGTCATTTCGATTCTTCTACTAATTGTCTAACCCCCCCCCCTTTAAATGCAAAACTTTAATGAATTTCGTTTAGTCAATCATTGAATACGCATGTGAACGTGAGCATGACGGTTGTGAATACAAATTTGCAAGAGGTTGATCAAGTAGCCGAGGGTGAAAATATTTCTCTGCATTTTAATCTCATGCCTGCAAATAATGGCGGTAAGTGTTTGTTTAAATGCATGTCAAAACGCCCCGGTTTTTTTATATTTTGTGCTTTTGAGTTCAGTGAAATGTACTCACGGAAGCGTTTTTTGAATACTCATTTCGATTGATTTTAAAATCTTGCTAATCTTTCTTTTAGATAATTTTCAAGAATTTCCCAACGTCAGATTGAATAATTTCTAGCCTTAATTTTTGAAAATTCATGTTTATTTTGCAAAATCATACATCTGCTGTATTAAACCGATAAAAACCAAAAATACTGAAAATTGAAATCAACGCAAATTTCACCCTGTCACTAATAAATTTCAGTGATCTAAGATTTTTTAAACATTGGATATAGAGTTTTCCTGAGAGGCATGGAAAAAAGTGCTTTTATCAAGTATTCCCTCAAAAATGAGCGGTTTTAATCAGATATTGGCTGCTAAGTGTATGTATTTGGGATATTGCCTGTTTCCAAAACACTCATTCCATTGCCTGTGCAGGTGAAATTGCAATCATCTATTGTGTTTTTTAATTTTATTAATGAAATCACAATTCCTTAATAGGAGTGTTAGTGGGCATGAACTTATTACGGGAGAGTTTAATCTCATATCATTCAAAGAAAAACCACGAAGCATCCTTTATATGCTATAATTTTTATTTTGTTTAATTAAGCAATTTAATAAAGTGAGCTGAGAAAACCAGACACCACTCTATAGCGAAATATAATATTCAGGGTAAATTTCTAAAATTGAGTGGCTGTGTAGCGATGCTCTTCAAATATAAACTGTGAGCATAACTAATGCAAAGCACATCCATTGTGGAAGAAAAGTTTTTCACTAACTTAAAATTTGCTAATTTGAAAACTGCGCTTAATATTTTAGCAGCCTACTTAAATATAAGAAATCGGCCTCTCATTTATTTGCCATTAAATATGCACTCATTACTATGTTCCTTGCGAAATGCACACACTGGTATTTAATAAGTCAATCACTATTATTCTACTGGCATAAATCATTGTAGCCTATTTAAAAATTCCACAATTTCGGGTAAAAAGTGAAGCGAAAATTTTAATTTTAATGAGTATTTTTTTTCAACTACAGTTAATATCTGCAACGTGCGGTTTACTTGTGCCAGGATATCCGTAACGCGTGAGGAACAAGTGAATTAAAAAAACACCCACTTAATACACTTCCTGTAAAGAAAAGTTAATGTTTGATTGTCTACTTCTTCATCAGTTAAAATAAAGGAAGATATATTGGCGGAACTTGATGGATGACATTAAGTCCTCCATCTAATTAATTTTAGTCGTATAAGCAATATTTTGGTACCCCTTGAAGGCAAATAGTAATTTTTAAATTGTGGTTACATTTCATCACAAAGCAAAGTCATTTCTCTCATTTGCCGATTACAATAGAATGTTTATTGCGTTCGGAAGGTATAACTACTTACGTTTTCCATTCGACAAATATAAAAGCATTTTTGGAAATTCTTTTGGCAATATTTTCCGCCTCTCCCCTACTCTCTATGCTCCTTAATGTACATTTTCTTCTATAAATGGAAGTTGTAGTTTTGATAGATGGTTGGATACAGATGCATGAGAATAAAGAAGATAAATGTTTATCATCATTTAGGCTGTGACCTATTTTAGCCCATCTGAGCTTTCACATAAAATGAATTTATATTTATACTTGGATTCTCGAAAGCCAAATAACCTTTTAAGCGAGTCTGGATTTGAAGAGTAGATTCGGAGTGTTATCTTATCTTGTTGGCTATTAAGTAATTGTTAAGATGCTAATTTTGCTAAACCAAATCTCGCCCTCTAAACCAAACAGGTATTTTTTCATAATAAAGATCTAATAATCGTACGACAATTCTTTAGCCTTTTGTTCTCCATTGAGAACAAAAATGCTAATTACATTAAACGATTTTTCGGAGCATTAATTAAAGCCAACTAAACAGCTGTTTTTTTTCAAAATTTAATTAATCGGTAAAAAAGAACGTTTAGGTGTTTTTTCGATGGTTCTTCCCACGGACTGAATAATAGTTAGTCGATACATTAAATTATTAAAATAATATATCGCAATACGCGTATTTGAATGATGCTGTGTGAAATGAAAAGAAAACATAGTGGGAAAGATAATTCATTAGCTAGACGCAATTTTTTACCGAAAAATAATTTTTCACTTTGGTATGGGCGGGTCAAAGAGATAAACAATAATTTAGTGTTTAAAGTGACAAATGAAAATGAAGGTTAAGGTAAAAAGAAGCTTCTTCATGATCTCGATGATTTGAAATTGCTTGGGATAAATTAAGATTTTACATTGTCAGAAGAGCGATATTTTGAGAAAGATCAGCGGTGTACAAGACGATTGTCGGAACGGAAACTGACGATTGAGGAGAGAATGAACAACTGGGGATGAAGGGAAGAGCTCGGTTCTACAAACCGCTCGCGAAAGAGCAAAACTGTGTGGTAAATGTAAATATCTCGTCGTTGCTCATGTATTACACTGTCATCTGTAGATCAATCGAGACCAAATTCCATATTACTCTAACCTATTTAGACAATTTGGCCATGTAAAGAAGTAGACATTAAATTGAGAGCATTGTGGATGCCTTATCCTAATTCCGATTCTCAATTTGAATAGCCTTTGCAATCTTTTTTTCGATTTTCATATAAGGCTCGATTGCGGTGGAAAGCTGCTTTGCTTCAATTAGTGGATCTCAGTTTTCTCCTCCTTCGATTTATTCTGGCCTTCCTATTTATGCAGCGGGGTAATTCCCTTCAAGAATACATTATTTTGTATAGATACAATTGCTAATAACATGCGCATCTTAAACTACAGATGCACGACAAACAATGAGGCTAGCAGAATTCAGTTTGAACAGTCCCAACTCTCTGATCGACAGTTGCAAACTCAAATGTTTCAAGTTTTTCGAATTGATAACTTCAATTCCCTCTTCATTCGTTGCTTCATCAAATATTGCCCGCAATTTACTGCTTGTTCCGTGGTAAGTTATTGCTTTATTTTCCCTTAATACTCAATCAAATAGGAACCTGAAGGCTCTGTTAGTAAATCAGTTTTCCACTTCAATCCCGTAGAAGAAGCCATTATGGCTTGCTTCAAAATCAAGTAAAGAGTGCGTTAAAAAAAATTGAATGTGGTTGGATTTTGAAAAAAAAAACAATTCATGGGATAATAAACCAATAATAATTGAGCGTTCTCCTTTTTTAAAAAAATTATAAATCAAATTTCTCTCAAATTGGTGGCCATAACCTTGCAGAACTCTTGATGTTCACTCGCCTCCATTATAGGAAGAATAAGATCCAGATTTTTTTGTAACATCAATTCGAGAGATTATAGATTTTTTTAACGCCAATCGTTCTCAATGTTGAGTCTTAGCCAAACTTAACACAATTTTACTTACATAAGTTGTGCTTCTTGTGAGCCAGATTTAATCAGGCATAGCATGGAAGTTCCGTTTCAAATTGGGCGTGAAGTTGACACCTACACAACACTTGGGATATTTTAGAACCAGGAAATGGGAGTAAAAAGTTAATTATGAGAGTGTATTCGAAAGTGTGTTTCTTTAAAGTTGGAATGAAAGTTTGATTTTGTTTGAAAAGTGACATTCGTGTTCGGATCTGATAATTCCTAAATGGAAATGAAACATTTTCCCTTATTCAAACCACCAACTCTTTGAGTGCAAGCATGTTTTAAGTTAACTGAGAATTTTGATTTTGCCATAAATTTTGAATAATGTAGCACATGATTTCATTCCAGTTTTGGATATGAAGAAATGGAGATCTAACATTTAATTCTCTCTCGTATATTAATAAAATGCTTCATATTATGTCTATATTTTGTTTGCTTCCGTTACTTTCAAAACAAGTTTCACATTTCCATGAATGCACTAAGTATAGATCAGGGTCCGTTTAGATATTATCAATGTAATCGATATATATCATTGCATTGGCTATACACCCCGTGGATTACTGATCAAACACAATGCAATTAAACTTTAACCTCGACATATTAGCAAAATAAATCTAAATGCATTTATTTCTCATTTACATAGTCATTAAAAGGCTCGAAACAATTTTTGGATCGGTAAATGAACCATGAAGTTAAAATGCCGACATTTTTGGAACTTGGAGACTGCTAGTGTGTGCCCGGTAGTAAAATAAGTGGTATGGACTATTTCAGTTCAGGAAAAGCAAGTTAATGAATGCGATTTTTGCGGTATTTTCTTCCAAATTGTTCACGAAAATGAATTGGAAATGTCGTTTCATGCCTTGTGTCAAATTAATGACCGCTATGACACGTGAAAATCAGCAAACTATCTACTTTAGTCAATTTTTCGGAAGTCAAAGCCGTGTCAACTCCTAATGAATTAGGAATAAATCGTACGTGCTTTTAAATTCGCTATTCAATTATTAGAGTTCGTGGTGAACCAATGCATTATTTGGGCATTTGCCTCCTTATATTTCACCTCATTTGATTAAAAACAAATTTTCATCTTTGCATTCAAATGGCATACCATGGGGTGAAAGCAATCATTAGTTTCTATTTCTTTAAATAAATTCAATTTTGTTTTACAGGAAAATCTGGATTGTTCAGATCCAGCACAAAGTTACACGGGAAACAAGAAATACAGCCACAGATATCGGCTTTTTGATCGTTGGGTTCATCTTAATGTTGCATCTTCGCCCAAAGGTTAGTAATTTTATTATTCGCTCCCAAAATGATCCAAATCTCTAGGGTTATTTCAACTGAACATTCCATGAATAATTAAGTTGAAAAGAATCAAATATTGAAGAGCCTAAAATCTCGGAGAAGTTAGCTTACAACGACAAATTATTTTAAAATTAGTTAGATTAACATCAGCTAACAAGAAATGAATAATCGATTAAAGCATTTCTTTTTAACACATTGTGAAATTTAAGTGTCATATGAAAGTCATGAAATTCCATTGGTTCATAACCTAATTTTACCTTTTAAATTTTCATTATTTATCGTAATACTAATCTATTTGTTTACATTTTTAATGTTAAGATATTTGTTTAAATCCGGTTAACCATATTTATTATGATATTTACAAATTTATCGATTAACAATTTTGAGTCATGTTAACATCACGATTAGCGCAATTCAGTTCGGTCAATACTGAACTTTTAAGCGTCAAACCAAATTTTTTCCAGTGGCCTTTAACGACTGACATTAGTGTTGTGAAATGTAATCCTGATGTTTAACAGCATAAATTACTGATTTTGTGCATAGGAGAGTATTTTAAAGAATGTTTCCTTAAAACCATGTAGTTTAGGCAAGAATTCCTAGCTTCAGTTACACAAATATGTATCCAAAACTTCGATGCAAATGACACATTTGTATTGAGAGTGCTTGGGGGTTATAACTACAATTAAACAAGGAGGAGATAAAATCACACTGCGGTAGGTGCTGTTTGATATTTAAACGCTTTTATCTGCATCTACGTTGCAAAAAATGCTGAAAAAGAAAAGTCAGGAATCGTATTGAGAATAAAAATGCTCAATTTTGCCAGTTCTTCTGAAGTAAATACACAATCAGTATTTGTACACGTCTTATTTGCTCTGTTGTTACATATTTAACAAATTGTCTACATTTATGCCATTTCTGTCTGTGTTCCATGAAGTTCTATTATTTGGGCTTGAGTATCTGTCATAATATTGCATTTGCAATTAAATGAGGTTAAGCGTGGTGCAGCCTAATGTATTGATTGTAAGAAAGGGCAAAATTGTCAAACGAATTACATTGATTAATTGTGCTTCTAACATTCAACCAATATATCTCTTTGGATAATTATCTAAATTACAAGCAACCGCCAACTTGAGCACTATTCGATCTCTGTCGTCTCTGTTATCGATTACTATTAAAGGTCATTGTGTCGTTCCGTTTATTGAAAGAAAAATGTAGTGAGATGAACACTTGCTGTAATTCAAGGAATGAGTCATAAAGGTTCAATGAAGCATCCACTTAGTAAATGCTTCTCTAAACGAATTTTAATGAATTCTTTCTCCCTGGGGTTGTTCTCAGAGTCTTCCAGAAGCCAGCTTCCAACCCCCCCCCCCCCCCCACACACACACTTTTATCATTTATTATTTATTGCACAAGTTTGTGTTTTATCAAAAGTCATAATAATAGCTAATAGTATATATGCGATTGTGGAATCTTCTGGAAATTTACCTCTTTTCATTTTCGTAACCAATAAGACTTCGTATATGGTTCATTTATTTCACCTTTAATTACCGCCATATGGTCCAATCAAATTAAAACTGATAATGGCTAACAACAGAAAGCGTGATTTAAAGAAGTGCTTATTGGTAAGCTACTTTCATTGGAAGGGCAAAGGGGAAATATAGAACAAAATTCCAAGAGAGCGCTTGCTCAGTACTGGTGATGACGAGGTTTTTAGTTAACTATCACTTGGCCCGGTCGTTTTGCACTCTGTTTGGGATCACATCAAAATCTCAAACTGTGATTTATCATTCGAAGACTGATTCACGATCTTCTACGTGACTAACCAAGTATAGACAGTGGTCTATATAAATGAAATATCGAAATTTGCGGTTTTGAAATAATCACAAAATTTTCAAATATCTTCAGATGCAACTCAGATGCATTGTTATTATTCCCAATGCCAGGCTGTATTGCTTTTATTATTAATCCTTTATTTGAATTCAGACTTCACAAAGGTCTTGTGGCGGGGGTGGCTGACAGAAGAGTAATTCACAGATGTAAAATAGAGAAACAGAAACAAAGGTAGAGAAAAAGGTAAGGTGAGTACCGTGTTATTGGTCGAAGTCAAAGTGGGGTCATGACAGTTTGAAATCAGTAGTCAACTGCTGGTTTATAGACTTTTTGCCGTATGAGTATACGTTGGCCAGGGTGCACCACATAGAGGCAAGTCTATAGCAAACCCCACTCAGATATATTTTCGTGAGAAAAAAAAATAATAGTAATAAACCTCATATATTGTTTTGACTAGTTTGGGGGGTAAACGTCTGCGTTAACTCAGCATCCTCAATGGTACAAATTCTTGCGCTTTTGATTGGTTCCGAGTTTATAATATTCAATAATAGTGAAAAATGAATTATTTTATGGGCAACAAGAAATTAAAATGAATGAAAAGGAATGCATTGACCGGAAATAAGAAAAGAAGACATTAAACACCATTCATTGAGCAGAATTTATGTTAACCGGAAAGTGTCATCAAATGTATGAAATAAACAGGCAAACTTTGCTCAACCAGTTTAGGCGACAAGTTAGCCAAATTTTTGAAAATGACAATTCCTAATGCCAATGCACCAAACACAATTTTTTGTCTCAATAATCGCGGTAAGTAATCACTTGTGTTGATTGACAACAAACACCGAATCGATTTTGCGCATAGCAATTTTTGTTTTTTTATTCATAACGTAAGAATAGGCATAGTTTTAGATCTTTATTTTAGTTTTAATTAATTTATTTAATGTCAGATAAATGTTTAATTTAAGTTTTTAGACCATCTAGGCCATATTTTTTGTGGTGAACAAAATATTTCCGAGGTTGTTCCAACTACTTGTTCGGAAATCAAATGACAAAATTTTAATTGCTTGCCCATTTCATTTTTGAATTCTAGCTAAAAATTGTGCAAAATGTTAACCGATTAAGAAATAATTGAATTGAAATATGGAACAAGTGATCTCTCTCTATCCTTTTGTGATGTAATCGACTAAGGAACTTGTTTGTGTTTTTCGATTTCGAGTACAAAGCCAGCCGTCACTGATAAACCACCGGAAGTATATATAAACAAACATTACCTTCAAACTTGTATACTATTTAAGTATTGAAGCATGAAGCTCTGAAATGCCAATGAAAGGGATACTCCATAATCCGAATACGAAACTCAAATGAATGAGCACTTTTCCAGCTCAATCTTTCGATCATACCCCCCCCCCATCCCCACCCCATACTCCCCATTATTTTCCATTTGAATTTTCTTATCAGATTTCAGTTCCACTCCGACAATGATAATTTTACATAGCGAGTTATCGGATCTCCAAGGGAGAAATGAATCGTTGAATGGTACTTGAGGAAATGTTAGCTTCTAATTGAATTACTTTCACTTTGGTTAATTACATGATAATTTGTTTCTGAATCTTTATCCGTTTTATCAAACGTAATGGTAAATACAAAATTTGTCACTATTGGAGACCTATAGAGTACAAGGAAGTAAGTTAAGACCTGTAGTATTTCTTTTATTAATTGCTTTCAATTTTTAAGTGAATCATCTCATTTATTGTTAAATATAGTTCAAAGGGTATTATTTAGCTGGTAGCAACTAAGAAGGAGAAAAATGAAATTAATTATAATTGATCATAATGCAAAAATTAAATTCACTTCTTTTTAGCCTTCCAAATATTATCTATTTCTTCAATATTACATTAGCATGCATTTTCAATTGGTCATTCAGATGACCAATTGTGTAAGGGACATAATTATTTACCTAAATTTCTTTCAATAAATCAAAAATTTATGTTTAAAGGGAACTCCTACGACTATTGTTCAACTTTAACTACATTCTAATACCCAAAACTTCAAAATTTACCAAAAAATTAATAACCTATTGCAAATAAATTAGAAATTCAAAGTTAAAAATATTCCAACCTTCTCTCATTATGATGACCAGCTTCGATTACATTGTGGGGTCTAATTATTAAAGTCAAAGAAATTGAGGAGGGAAGTCAGGGTAAAAAATATTATTTCTTTCAACGGAATGAAAACATATAAATATCCGAGAATGGAATAAGAAAAACTTCAATTTTTTTCTGATTTTCAACTCATAAAAAGAAAGAACTTTATCCCATTGTCTGATATAATAGAGAATAAAACACTGAAGCTGTGCTGTCAAGCACCATACGCATAATGCAAAATTTAAGAGAAATAGAATAGCACTTGATGATTTCTTCAAAATGCCACCTTAAAACCTTGACAGAGGATTGATTTGGAGCAATTTTTACCTATTAACAAGGTCAGCTATGTAAAGGGGGTACTTGGTCTCATGTATGGGTTTAACTGTTTGTTTTGTTGTAATCATATTCTGAATTTCCGTTAATAGATAGCTTTCTGTAAGTTTTCTATAATTCAATAAGAATGCACACTAGGGTACTTTGGGATTTCGTCCATAATGCTGCAACAATGACTCAAGCCCTTATCTGCTATGTCTAGACAGACTTAACGATCCACCTTTTGCCATTAACTTTCCAGTTCCGCCTGCACAGATTTCATCCTTCTTAGTGAATCATCCACTCTTTGTATTTTGCTATTGGATGGAGAGTTTTTACTGTTCGTGGGCGCTAGATTTTGCTTTTTTCTTTCGAAATCTACCTTTGGTTCATTTGTTTCTACGATTTGTAAAGTGAGCAAACCTGTGATCTTCAATTCTACTACTCCCAAGAAAGAAATGCTTTTGTTATTTATTTATTGATTTTATATCGTGCATTAACGTTGTTTCCTCCTGTGGATGTTTGCTACATTCCCTCCCTTTCCATTGCGGGATTCAACATTTTTATCGATTTATCAGACACCTTATTCGTGAGTTGTACTCCGGTTAAAAGCTTATTTCATCAGTTTTTGAGGTTCATTTCATCCGCTTTCTGTTACTTATTTCAGTTCGTGCAGTTGGAGGCTAAAGTGGTACCTTTAATGAGTATTTGGGGCCTAAAGATTGTTTTTCGATTAATTGTTTATCGATTATGTGATTTTCATATTCTCTTTAAGAATTCAATGGATTGTTTGGAAGTTCTAATAGAGTGAAATCATAAAGTGCTCTAGTTTAAAAATTTGTTATCTTTTACAGTATGATAATCACCCTCTACTTTAAATTAACTCACAAGTGATCAGCTTTTGCCGTAAGGTGGTATTAAATGCACAAGAATTCTACCATCTATCTACTTTCCCAAGTGGGGATGAAGTTCACGTTCTTGGTAGAGCAACCTCTGTTCTGCCATGAGGTTTTTAACCTAGGGTAACTAATGCAATGTGATTCCTATTGGCTAACTTCTAAACTGTGGCCTTTCAAATAGTCAGATACAAGGCTCTAATCTATATTCTTAATGAAAATGCGAATAAATAACTTCCTTGTTCAACACTCCAATTTTGGTCCTTACCTTTGACTAGGTAATGAAATGTATTTCTGATCTCTGTGCTTATTTACTTTGACTTAACTACCTTTTGTGAATAATTTTAATACAATTTCAGAATCGCTACTAGTAACAACTGTTGGATCAGAGGGCAAAGGTAACGCAAACCTACGTTTGAATTCAATGGGACGGAATGGTGGTGCCTCTCCAGGAGGGACTTCAAGTACTGATACAGGTCCCTGTCAATATGCTGTCTGTCTTACGCATGTTCAAATTATCTCTGTGTCTGTGATTACAATCGTTATTATACTTGTGGTGCTGTCAATCTCTCTGGTAGCACTCAAGCGACAAAATCAATTTAGAAGAAATGAACTCATGGCTTCAAAGAAGGTTCGTTTATTTTCCAATTTATCACTTCAACATTTTCAGAAAAATAATACCACTAACTGGACTAATCTTTTTCAATTAATAAAAATCTTGTGAAACGAAAGTTTGGCCTAATACTCTGTCAAAATGTCCCCCCTTAAAAGCACCATATATTCCCATTCAGTTGTGTTTGTCTCTGAAGTCGGTCTCGTTTGAATTTTTATTCAATTTCACCAATCATCCTGTTCTTTCTAAATCCAAAGGTTAGCAAAATTTTTTTTTGTTTTTAATCTAAATGAAATTGTAGACTACCATTAAATTTGTTCATTTTACTTTTTGATTGGGAATAACAGCTAAATTGCGCATTTTAAGTTTAGGAAACACTAAAAATATGATAAAATTCGTTTTAAGTCACAAGTCACTTTCTTCACCATCTAATAACGTTATTGGATTTGATTAAAAGTCCGAATTTAATTTTTTTACCATTTCTTGGCCATGGTTATAAATATTAAATTAGTGCACTTAAAATAATATCTCAGTAAAAATTTAATGTTGGGGGGGGGGCCGGTTTCATGTCCTTCTTCATTTTCGTGAGCTCTTATTTCGGTACTTTATTACCTTAAAGGGACATAAATTTTACATCTTCCAATTAGAGCAATTTAAATTTAGTTCAAATAATCAAATTTTGAAACATTTAATTTAATAATTAAAATATTTAAAATTAAGTGCAATCCCATGCTAGTGTCACCATTTCCGCCTGAAATTATTCTAAGGTAACTATTCCATTTAAAATTTTCAAATAATTTTGTGTATTTTTATTCTATTAAGAAATTTATTGACTATAATTTTAGTCAAAGACGCTTATTTAGGCTATGCTAAACTGGGTTTTGCATGAATTTAAGACATATCGATATCAAAACACAATACCAAGTATTGGAATAAGCTTAATATTGACCGGGTAAAGTTTACTACATAAACTGTCCTAAAAATACCGCCATATTCAACTACTTTGCAAAAGTGCAAATTTTTTAACACATTAATTTAATCTAATTATATCCATGTGCAAATATTTGCCTAACCTACTTATCCCTCAATATTTATTGATTTAATCCGTTTAACTTAGTGGAATGGAGCTTTGAAAAGTTGCTTGCATCTACAAGACCACATTTAATTAAATTTTTCTTAACATAAGTACTTTAGATCAAAAGTAGTCCCATATATCTCTCTCTTGTGAGTAGGTTTCACAATGGAAAGAGGAACTATCGTTAATTTACCTCAATAAACCTTAAATCCCATACCCTAAGCGTTTCTTATTTCATATACTCTTTCCCAAATACAGTTAGAAATTTTGCACTATTCCCTAAATGTGCATCATAATTGTAAAATGTGATAATTATTATTTGTTAAATGAACTTTTATTCACTATTAGGAGTCTTAATTTATTATTTTTCTCTAAATTCTATTTTTTTCAGTCCCAAACGTGATTTATTTAAATAAATTTGACACATTTAATCACAATAATCAACAGAACAAGTGTTGTGCCATTTGAGCAAGCAGTGTGATTATAATTTATGTCGTTAAAAAATATTAACAAATAGCTGACTGAATTAAATACCATTTTGAATTGGACATCTCATTTCAAAATGTTAAATACAATTAACGCCGCTTACTTGGATGTTTATTTGGCATTTGACAGGTTGATTTGCACAAATTTGACAAAATTGGAATAAGTTTTCCATGGCAGAAACTTCTGGCATTTGTATTGACTTTTCAAGCTTTCGCAAGTTCATGTCAATACAGAGACCCCCAGCTTTGAGAATCCTAAATTAGAATTAATGGAATCAAAGTATTCGACGTTTGAAGTATTCTCGAAATTACCGTTAGTAAAAAGGCACAACATAATTTGCTTGACTTGATTTAAATTTTTGGTTTTTGCGACCTAATATGCAGGAGGAGATTTATTTTCGGCCAAAAGGTATTTTTGGCTAGCACCTAAACACCCGTTTGGCAGTGGATTCTAAATTTAGATGTTGCTTTCTTTTCTAAAAATGCAGATGTCATATGCAGTCTTCACTTATCAAGTTTTAAGCCTTAATAATTAGATAGAGGGCATCATCTTTCATGTTCATTGTATTATTTTTCTGCTTTTTAGCCAAACGGGGCAGCATATGAGTATGTTAATTGGTCCTCTCCTGTGAATGCTAGAAATTGGGGAAATCAGACATCTGTATTTCAGCCTCTTGTGATATCTGATACAATTCAACGCAATCCAGCAGCTTCTATAGCCTCTAGCGTCTACTCTAAAGTCCAATTACCCAATACCACATTTATACGAAGTCCTAACAATGCAGTCAGCCTCATTCAAAACAAATGTCCAGGTAATCTTGGCTCCAGGTGTCGTAATTCCAGAGAAGTGAAACGAAAACCAACTTCTGAGGCTAGTGGAACCTGGTCAGTGAATAGACCGGAAGCCTCGGGAAAAAAGACCTTTACGAGTGCAGTGAATGAAGGGGGACCATTTGAACTACAGCCCCTTGAGTTCTACGAAACAGAAGCTCAAGGCTCTGTGGGTCTCTATGCCCCGTTCCTCTGTATTCGAGAAACTGGAACTATTAAAAACGACACTCATAACTCAGAATGCTTTGTTGTGGCCAATAATAGTAGCATAAGTGGACAAGAAAATCCTGTGCTAGCATCAACGCAGTTTGTTATCCAGAAGACGCCGACAATTACTTCCACGGCTCTGAACACACGAACGCCAACTCTTCAGAGAATGTATACAAGACCACCACCAGCAGTAAGAACAGCTGACCTCAATACAGTAGAGCCGTTTTCTCCGATGAAGTTTCTGACCGAATCGGAGAATGTGATGGCTGATAGAGAACTCTCCCTGTCGAATAGCAACATTCTGAATGATGAGCAAAATGTATAACAAAAGTGTTACTATAGATACATTACCTACTCCCTCCATTTGCAGTTTAGTCCTGTATATATTTGCGTATATGCAAGCATTATGCATTTCTAGCAAGAATTTGATTCTCCTGTAATGGCCCTTTTCACTAAGCATGCAATAGCTTTTCTTATGGCAGAAGCATGTGCTATAAGAATAGCCGACACGATGAAAGGGGTTATTCTGGCTGTGTGAAGAGTCATTTCAAACTAAGGGCAGACTTATCTTCCTGCAAATCCTATGAAAGAACTTCGTGGTTGTACGGAGCATGGAATTGAGGCTTCGCTTAAACGCCTTGACTAAGAAGGTATTTTTACACATGAATAGACGTGGGCACATTGCTGTAGGATGAATTGAAGGAAATCTGAACGTTTTTTGGGGGGATATTCATTCTTCCTAACTTGCGGTTACACATCGTTTTTAATGAGATCAAGATAGAACTAGAGGCCAGGTTTCAGGCAATTGATTATTATCAATGAGATCAAGAGTATCACCAGTCAATCGTCATTAGACGATCATTTACTTTTCCTCATTCCTGACTATCCTAGTCGCAAATAAGTAAGCATGTTTACCCTTTCAACAAGTCCAGATCTGAACAAATCCGTAAAGCCAATGAGGTGCGTAATAAGAGCTGTCTCAATTAGTCTTCGTTATGGAACACCATGTTGACAAGGTAATTGTTTATGAAGGGGCATGAAGCCTATAAGACCTGTGGACTAAGAAGAATGTTGAGTAAAGGGGGCATTTGATTTCGTCCATCTCACCATGCTCTATACAGAGGTCAAGAAGTTCACTTTGTTCTACACAGCTTGTACGTAAGCATCATGGAATGAGGCCACCAAAAATATTTTAAAGACATCAGTATTGCCAGTAAGTTACCGTTTTCATGACACTATCCAAAACCGGGAATAAGCGAGACAACCTGATAAGAAGCATGAGGGATGAGGCTGACTATAAAAGATGAAAAACACAAAAGTATCAGCGAACATTTTGCAGTTAATTGAAGTTAAGTTAATATGGTCGATTCCGATATAAATATAACACCTTAGCGCCGAAATATTGTTTTCATATATTTTTTAAAGAAGCTTATTGTTTAACTAATTATCCATGGAATTATAAATCAAATTTGGGGAAATTCCCCACTGATAAGAGTTTATTAACGATAGCACAAGTTTTCTGCTCGGCCATAAACCCGCTAGGCGGCACAGTAACACTCCTGTGATAAGCCCTCTATTCAAATTTATCAAGTCACGTTTCAAGGTAGGCGGATAATAGGAGTTATCGTATTACGTTATCCTGTTATTTGGAAGATATTTAATCTATGAAAGGAAAATTATATTAATGTACTTTGATAAATGAGCAGAACCATATATTTTTAATCATACATCCGAAGTATCCAAACTGAATAGTTCCATATTTTGACAATCGTATGGAGTATATGTCTCCTACTTGACTAAGAAGTGGTAAAGTTGTAAAACTTAACAAGGAATCCTCACATTGCTTTGACTTAAAATAAAATTCCGACGTAATCTGCTTAGCTATTGAAGTGTTCGTCTAAATATAATTAATTATCACTCTACGTATTTAAATGTAAATGAGTTTGGTAAACCATGTGAAACGAATAGATTCACTAATTAAATAAACAATATGCTCAACGGTATTTAAATTTGCATAATTTAATTAGTCATAGTTAGCACATTATAGAAATGCTAGCTTTGCACTGGTGGTCTTATAAATCCAAGTGATGACGAACTTATAAAACCAATAATCGATAAATCGGTGAGCGAGGGTGAACTTTGCGGACTTCATTCCTATGGCCTTCCTACTAATCAACTGACAGCTTATAAAGTGTCTGCCGAGCGATGCTCATACTGAAGACCAAGTATTCAATGCTAAAAAATTGTAAATACTCTTAAGCGGAAAAGGTCCTGTTTTATTCAAATTAACTAAGATGCGCATTACATGAAAAGACATTATGTTCGCAAACCCACAGTGTGACCAATTTTAACGGCCACATTTTAAGTTGGGTGATTGTTTTCCCATTTAACCAAAGGATACAAAAGGAATTTCATCATGATTAGAACTGGGGTGGAAGTTAATAAAAAAATCAGCAAAGCCACAAGAGATAACGAAATAATTACCTTTATGACTTCTGCCTGAGGCAAAATGAGATACGTATTCTCAATATCCGCTGAATTTATCAGAAAATTATCAATTATGCATTGTATTTTAAGATAGATGGTTCACAAAGTAGAAAAAGTTAAATTCGAAAATTTCCTTCTTATTTCAATCACTGTGTGGTTCCGCAAAAGAAATAAACTACCGAATATTCGAATGCGTAATTGTAGATAAGTTGCTTAAGCTGCTAACTCTAAATTACCAACCCAAATATTTTTATCCCAAAATTTAGGAAGATTGGCTATACTTAACTACTTGATACTATTATGAATGAAACAGCGCTTCAGCCGATAGTTCGACAAGATTAAGGCTGGCAAATTGGGGAACTAAGATTCATTGAAAAGTATGTGCCA